ATCCTACTTAGTGACAAGTCTCTTGGGAACTGAGGAGGCTCAGAACCTCTCAGGGCCATGTCTGAGTTCTCCTCACATTATACGTTCTTTAGGAATGTTCACAACCAGTGTAAAAAGAAATTGGGAATGTGAAAAGCAGCTACTACGCTTCAGCTGATCAGATGCTGCTTCAGTGAGGTATTTCTATCAGCCAGGATTATTCTGGATACCAGAGCAAAACGCATGGATTATCAAGGTCTAGTTTCCCTTCACAGAACAGCCTCCAGATATTAAATCAATACTATGTTTTTTAGAGCAGCAATCATCTTCAGCAGTGAGAACTGGAGAACACCTCAGCATAAGACTATCAGAAGGGTCACAGATCTGCAGTCCTAGGCATGCAGGGGATCTGGTTACGTTTGAAATGATTTGGGTGCTTCTGATCTCGGGTTGAACTCAACTGTCCTGCAAAGAGTATCTTTTGTGCCTTTTCCCTATGGGATTTTGGTTTCACTGCAAAGAGAGGCAGGACAAGCTAGCGTAATACTTGCTAAAGGCAAGAGATTTGTTTCTCCACCAGGTAAATGATCCAGCATTCATCGAGTACCTCAAGGTTGACTGAAATCCATCAGTTTTGGGCTAGGTAAGAAGTAAGGAGCTTACAGTATACTGGTTATTACCTGTCTCTCCTTTGGATGAAAAAGAAATTAATCTAACTAAGAAAAATGGATGTCACTTGGCCACTTTGATCTTAGGGCAAAGGGAAATCTCATTCTCTTAGGGAGTCAATGTTATCATTAAATGCTATATTTCCCTTTTAACTTATTGGGAATTTGGGCTGGTTTTGAAAGTAGCTAATAGCATAGGCCAGAAGCAGGCCTAAGGGAAGCTGGGAAAGTGTCCCCAGAGCAGCTCCTGCAAAATGTCTGCATCTGTTCCCCTCATGAGAGACTATTAATAGTGTCAGGAGTTTTGTGAGAGAAGGGACCAGCTTGAAATGATCATACTAACATTTCTGAAGACTGATGTATTCTCCTTCTATGTTCTCATTATTCATGAGTTGCACCTGCTACTCCTCTGCAAGAGATTATTGTAGTAGAACCTCACTAATCCACACACCCCAGACACACATACACAAAAGCTATCCTCTCCTTATTGATCAGCAGAGCCTGACATTGTGGTCCTGCATTCCTTGTGGATTCGGATTTCCCAGACGGAGGCAGACTTCAGTGGAATGGGCAAGAGAAGACAGATTTCGGTCTTTTGATTTATACTTTCATATAATACACGAACAGGGGGGTTTCAATGAACAGCAACAAACTGAACCTGAAAAGGAAACACTTTTTTTTTTTTTTTTTTT